ACAGCTGATGGAAGAATGACAGCTGATGGAAGAATAACAGCTGATGGAAGAATGACAGCTGATGGAAGAATGACAGCTGATGGAAGAATATTAGCTGATGGAAGAATGACAGCTGATGGAAGAATGACAGCTGATGGAAGAATATTAGCTGATGGAAGAATGACAGCTCATGGAAGAATGACAGCTAATGGAAGAATATTAGCTGATGAAAGAATATTAGCTGATGAAAGAATATCAGCAGATGAAAGAATGACAGCTAGTGGATGGAAAACAGATGATAAAGAAATTTCATTTGATCAAAATCAAGAAAATATGGATTTTGACTTTGCTAGGATGAAATCCAATGATTCTGTAAACTATGATTCAGCACTTAGAGCTAAAAGATCTGCTATGCGATCTGATGGCTCTACTCAGAGAGCTCCAAGGTCTGCTCTGATTGATGATGGTTCTGCTCTTAGAGCTAATGGGTGCCCAGACATCCAAAGTTTATCGGCTGTCAACAAGTTAAATCCAAGCATTATCAGAGGTCTAGATGCTTTGCTGGGTCATCCATTCTTACCTGGAAATGAAGATAATCAATCAATCAATTCTCTGATCTGGCAAGCAGTGCTTTCAAGCCATCCAGGTTGGAACCCAATGCATGATTCATGCATGGTGCCTGATGCAGGCGATGACTGATAAAACAGCCTGGAGCATGATTTAAAAACTGAACAAAAATCAAGTTTGTAATCTGAAAAAATGCATGGAAAGTGTCTGAAGAAAGGATAATAAACCCTATTTGCATGATTAATAAGCTAAATACAGAGTGGAAAGTATAAAAAGCGGAATTTACTTCTGAATATTATAAATTTTGTCTTCTAGTCGTACTTGACACATGTGTATCCTAGAATTCACTTCATAAAAAATTATTTCATTTAATCTTATGCCACCGGCTGCATACGGAAAAAATTAACAGAAATAACCATAACCAATGTATATATTCTTTTAATCTATCTAATATCATGCATGATTAAAAATGTATAAATAATATCATTAATTCTCATTAAGCATGAATATTGATTCTTGAATTATAATCTGCATGAAGAATTATTGGCTTAGTAACATTATGCCTGAATCTTGAATGCCTTGATCAAAATAATCCTAGTCTGTTTGGCGCAAACGTTTCGTAATTCAATGCATGCGCACAACACTCTTCATTATTTTGTAAATCACAAAAGTTTTTGCGAATGATTTGCGCAAACAAAGGATTTTATATTTTGATTTTCATTTAATCATTTGGTTTTACATGTTTAGGTCTAGAATCAGTCCTGGAAACCCTATCTCCAGATGCAACACCAGGTATACAGTTATTCAGGTTGGAAGGTTGGGTGTTTGAAGAAGTGGTTCCTCTAGGTAGCCATGTTCTAATAGTTTTTATGCGTAAATTTTAAACATTTTAAGTTTGTTAGTTTTCAAAGTGGTTTCTAACGAACATATAAGTTTTCCATTTTTGATAATTGTATCACTCCCCGATTAAGAAATACAACCAAAATATGATTTTTTGAACTGAGGTTTAGAAGAGTAAAAAATCAATAATTTAAATATTGTGATATTTAATTGATTAATAATGGTGATGTTTGATTATTTGATTGATAGTAATGTGTAATTGATTAATATATTGTGATGTTAAATTAATTAATTGATAGTAATGTTTAATTGATTATTTGATTGTGAAGTTTAATTGATTAATAGATGGTGATGTTTAATTATTCAATTGATAGTAATGTTTCATTAATTAATTGATAGAAATGTTTAATTATTCAATTGATTGTGAAGTTTAAATGAATACTTGATTGTGATGTTTAATTGGTTGATAGATAGTAATGTTTAATTAATCAACTGATTTTGATGTTTTATTGATCAATTGATTATTTAATGTTTGATCGATTAATTAATTAGTTGATTTTGATGTTTACAGAAGAGATCCAAGCAGCTCTGGATGCCTCCGGCATGGACGGAGAAACTAAAGCGAAGATGGTTGCAGCTTATAGCTCCGGCGGTAAGACGGAAATGTTTTCAAATAAATCTTTCCACAGATTTTCAAAATTATAGATTCAACATTTTTTTATTTTTATCTAACAAAAAGAAGTTTAGCATGCAAGAAAATCTGTGGAGAGTTATGCATCGCTGTAATATAAAGCTTTATAAATACTTCATTTAATCTTGGCTTCTACTGAAATCCAATTTGATTTCGTTCAAATATTTTTTGTCACTTACTTTGGAGTGACAAGAACGAATTTTTTTTTTGCTAACTACTTTATTATGTATTTATTTTTGATTACTTCTAATTTTGTGTGATCCCCTTTTTAACAACGGCTTAGGTATGCTTCACTCTGTGGGTGGACTTGCCAAGTTCCGACGGCTCCAGGATATGCCGGCCATGTTGAAGGAAAACCTTGACGCGTTCGACGCGGCAATACTTGCGCATCAGAATAGAGCACCTGTTGAGGTTCCTCAATGTAAGTTTATTCCTGTCCTAGTCCTAGATCAGTTTTTAAAGGGATTGTTTACATATTTGAAATTACAACTGATATTTTCATATTTTAAGTGCTTTCTACCGTTTTACAACTTTTTGTGTTAAAATTTAGAATTAATTGCGGCAAATCATTTGGTTTAAATAGAGATATTTTACTCTTTTGCAATATATTTGCCAATGCCAATGTCATTGACAAAAAAATACATAATCTTCTTTAATTATCTTTTTATTGATCTCTCTTTTTGTGTGTGCATTTTGCATATCCTCATCAAAAATCACAACAACGTGTAATTAGTTCTTTTCCATAGCGTTATCAGTATAATTTTTTCAAAAACTCAGCCCAGTGTGGTTGATAATAACTTTTTTACAACTTTAAATGGAAAACCTTTTAAAGGTAGTACAGTGAAACCCTTATTAACGAATACATCGGACGAATTTATCAAATGTCGTCTTGACAATTTTTCAATGAGTTTTATACTATATTACATAAATTTCAGTATTTGCGAAAATAAATAAATAGCCATGAATATGCAGGAAAAGTTTTATAGAGTTCCATATAATCATTTAATTAAAAAACTAAATATCTGCAGCATTCCATTATCAGAAAGTGAAGAATACGACATTTGATGAATTCTTCCGATGTATTCGTTATTAAGGGTTCCACTGTACTACCTTTAAAAGGTTTCCAATATAAAATCTGGAAAGGTTCGAACTCATCAAAACTTTATTTTCTATGAACATTTGCGTGTTATGCTTGGGAGGAAATATCAGAATAATTCAAACCAAAAACAATAGTTTTTCATGAAGTAAAAAAAAACCTTTAATTTAAAAAAAAAGAAACTAAATTATTGCTTCTTAGTTGTACTCCTAACTTCAATATTATATGTATTTTCAAAAATATTAATAATCCCTTTGACTGGCAAGCATTATTATAGGTCTTGTATACTGTGTGTTTTTTTTTCATTATTTTGGTGTAATTAGTTTTGTTTCATTAGATTTCTAGACATTAGACCAAAATTATTATTTTCCATTGTGGTTTCTAGAAGATGTGATTTGCACACTTCTTCTGCACATTATTAGTAAAATTAAGTTTTACAGGGTCTAAAACATAGAGTAATAAAACGAAGAGGTAAAGCTTACCTAAGATGTACACAGCCGACCTCCTTATTAATTAATTATTACGATATGTTTACGTATCTAACACTGTACACTTGTATATAGAGTGATCGTATTTCTTGGGAGGGTTTTATGAAATTGACAAATTTTTTGATTTTCTTTCTTTATTCAAAGAGAATTCGAGGATGTTGACTGCAAACATTTGACAATTTTCAAATTTTTAGGTTTTATAACTTAAATTTCGCGCATTTTTTAGTTTTAGACTCTGGGAACCGTTGTGAATCGGATATATATTCCTCCTATAATAGATTGATATTAAAAAGTGCCGTACATTATAAATCATTTAATCATTAGAACATTAAAACATTTTAATGCAATTGATATTTTCTTCTGGACGTTAAGCTTTGTTTTAATTTTCTTAAAGTTGACACACAGATCTTGTTGCATAAAGACTGAATTAGGCCTGCTAAAGTTTTAATCTTGCAGTATCTGATATGACTTGAAAGTTTTGTCTACAAAAGCGTGACTAACAGTTTTCTCCTCTTTTTATTAACACTTTCAGGATAAAAATAAATTTCAAGCAGAATTGTCAGCTTTGTTCTTTCTTTTGATCAAAAATGCCGGATACAGGATTTATGTGAGAGGGGGGCAAGATTTTTTAGGAACAAAAAAAATCATAATTAGGAACATAAAATCGTTCGGCGGGCGAAAATTTTTTTTGACTTAAAAGACTCAAAAAGAGTCAAAATTAATTACTAAAGACTAAAAAACTAGACTTTTCACACATTATAGTTTATTAAGACAGATATTTTTCCTGTTTTGCACTAGGGTTTCTTTCCCTAAAGCATGCTATTGAGAAGTTATTCTGAAAATAGGAACAAAAAATTCCAAATTCAGGGGGGGGGGGCTAATTTCCCCCGCCCCCCCCCTGTATCCGCCCCTGTTTGTTCTTTCTTTTGTTAAAAAATGCCGCTCATTATTATTTGATTTGGATTTTAAAAAATGTTTCTGTAGTAAACACCTACTACATAACAAGTTTTCGAACGTATCTATCCAGGTACAATCAATCCGCTATCAAACTCAACCAGGACTGAATCCCAGGCTCTAAATGCCACACAGGGACATAAGCATAGCTATCAAAATCCTACCTCTAATACAGTGTTCAACCAGAACTGAATCCCAGGCTCTAAACGCCACACAGGGACACAAGCGTAGCTATCAAACAAGTTATTTGTAACAATCCCAAATGATAGGGATGATCCATGTTTCTAAATGTCACACAGGGACACAATCCACACGCTACAATCCCATGAACTATCAACGCCACTACACAGGGCACGATCTTGTTAGCTATCAGTGTCAATACGGACACTAGCAATCAATTGATCAATGTTTAAAACAGAACACAATCCACACGGCTACAATCCTATGACTAATCAACGCCACTACACAGGGCGCTATCTCATTAGCTATTGATGTCAATACAGACATTAGCAATCAAGTGATCAGTGTTAACTAGGACACAATCCACACGGCTACAATCCTATGACTAATCAATGGCACTACACAGGGCGCTATCTCATTAGCTATTGATGTCAATACGGACACTAGCAATCAATTGATCAATGTTTAAAATAGGACACAATCCACACGGCTACAATCCTATGACTAATCAACGCCACTATACAGGGTGCGATCTTGTTAGCTATTGATGTCAATACAGACAATAGCAATCAAGTGATCAGTGTTAACTAGGACACAATCCACACGGCTACAATCCTGTGACTAATCAACGCCACTATGCAGGGTGCGATCTTGTTAGCTATTGATGTCAATACAGACCCTAGCACTTAATAGATCAATACCAATACTCAAGGTATGATCTACACTCGTGTGTTTGAACAAGAACCAAATCACTTCTAATACCGTAATCAAAGCAGAGTCGCAATCTACTAACCTCATTTAATGTCTTATGTCACAAAGTTAATATGAATTGACATAGTTACAATTCCTACAATGATATAATTATCACATGATTAAGACCATCGTATATTTACCACACAGTTAAAGTTTAATGTACATATTTATAAAATTAGTGAGAATAGATATAACGCAGTTAAGCTATCTCTGCAAATGTTTTATAGCGTAATTTAAGTATGTCGCATGTTAATTGTTAATTGCATAATGTCATAATGTCTAAGTTTACAACATTAAATCATCAATATGTATACAACATACTGCAGTTATACAGAATATCATGTTTCCACTATTTTTTCATTTCATTGTTTCATGAGGAAAAATATTAATTTAATGATAATTTTGAATTGATATAGTGATGACTCCCCCTTCCCCCCCCCCCCATTAAATTCCCTGTACCCAATCTTTTTCTTGACCAGTACATTACAAGGATGAAAAAGGGAATTTCACGACATAATTTTTGTTTGCAAATTACTCTAGATATGTTCAAGAAAAAGACATGTCTCTTATAGTTCTGTATAAGTTGGAAATTTTCCAGTTCAAGTTGAAGTTGAAGGTGTGAAATTGAGACGGTTAAAAATATATTCGTTTCAACACTGTTCAAACAAGTTAAACTATTTTTACAAAGTTAACTGGTTAAAAAGGAGCAAATCTCATTAAAATATTACAAAAATAATTGACAAAAGGTTCGATAACAACAATTTTTTTTGAAAATGATAGAGAAAATCAGTAATATCAGTATTCAGTAATAGTATAATATCAAAAATGATAAAGATAATGATAATTTGATAATAATAATAATAATAATAATAATTATGATTATAATAATAATAATGATATTAGTGTCTGCTGAATCAAGAGCCTTAATGCAGCAGATTCTAGCTTCTAGCAGCAGTCAAGATGAAATAAGCAGCAGAGTTGCAGCTCTCCTGGCAGGAACAGCTCTTTCTACCTCAAGGTAAAACAGCTGCTTTCTTACATGATGCTCTCAAACATATATTTTGAATTAGTATATAACTAGCTTAAAATTTATTATTTAAAATTACTGTTTTCATATTTCAAGAGGTTTTTTTAAACACCGAAAACTGTTCAAACTCAGTTTATCACAATTATCATGAATCATAATTATTATGAAAATATTTGCTTTCAAAAACATATTTTAATTTAGCATTTTTTTGGTTCAGTTTTTGTTTTAAATGCCATGAATGTCCAATGTCTTTGGAGGTCAAAAATTGTGTATGAAATACCAATAATCCACAACCCTGGATCTCGATATCCACGGTGGTAACTTTTAACCCCAATGTTTGTTTATTAGAGGTGAGAAGCTGAAGAATGGATATGGAGATATTGAACCACAAACATACGATATTGGAGACGGTAGGAAAATTGTTTTGATATAATTTGTTTTTGTTTTGCTTGAATCCCAGAATCCATTTTATCTTCCAAACCTCTAGATAATAATATTTGTTCTATTTCTCCCTCAACAGCCATAATCTATGTATTAGATATGTTTTTAATGCATTATTTTGCATTTCATTTTGTTTTCTTTGTTGATCTTGACACATTAAAATTGTTTACATCTTTGTAATCCAATGTCGTAGATATCAAATTGTTCAAACTAAGAATTTTGTTCGATCAAACAATCTAATTTTTAAATTTAAAAGGTTTACACCATAAGGTTTTAAAGAAAATTTGAGTTTGTTGCAAAGACTCAATTCCTTTGATAAAATAATAATAAAGTTTGTGACACCCTTTGATCCATTTTGATCCAACCATGTGTAAATCCCTTGATCCTGTTTGATCCCTTCGTAGGACCTACTGAACCTCCGTTGGTCCCTGAACCTCGGAGGGCAGAGCCTCGTGAGGTGAAACTCCGGAAGATCAGTAATCAAGAGATGGACAGAGCTCAACTCTATGGTAGAAGACGACTTTCATGGATGACGGGTACGTCGCGTCATTACAAAAAAACAAGCATTTTTTAAAGGGACTGCAGGCGATATACATTTAAAGAGTTACATCGCTTGTTACACCATGTATAAACATTTGCCTAAGCGGAACGGAATAAAATGGATTTATGCAGCAGAGATAGACACAAAGGTTTTAATGTTAGTTACGTATCGGGTATTGACCTCACCAAATACGGGCTATCTTAGAATAATCAACTTTCAAAGCATGAGAAGAAAATCACACAAAGACTTTGTTACGGGCTTTTTGGCACTTTGCTTAATGTCCTCGCCACGGCACTTGGTCCCTCACAAAGCCCAGACCATATATGAACCTATTAAAAAAGAATAATCGTTTTTAAAAAATATTTTTTTGGGGAAAATTTATTTTAGAAAAATCTCATCTAGATAATTAAGATGCAAATTGGGAATTTTTCCCTTGGGAAAAGTTTATTAAGAAAAACCGCATCAAGATTTGAAAAGCAAAAATATTCTTTGAAAAAAAATTCATTGTGAATATTTGAATGTAGATGCCGAGGAAGAACTACGAATCACCTACCGAGCAACTAAAGAAAAAATTCTAAAAATGTCGATCTACGATAATTCAACTGGAGCCGATGTTTCTGCTCTGCTAGCAGAATTTATCAATCAATCCGGTAGATTTTTAGAGTTGGCAATCTGGTAGATTTTTTAGAGTTGGCAATCCGGTAGATTATTTAGAGTTGGCAATCTGGTAGATTTTTTAGAGTTGGCAGTCCGGTAGATTTTTAGAGTTAGCAATCTGGTAGATTTTTTAGAGTTGGCAATTTGGTAGATTTTTTAGAGTTGGCAATCCGGTAGATTTTTAGAATTGGCAATCTGGTAGATTATTTAGAGTGGGCAATCCGGTAGATTTTTTGAGTGGGCAATCCGGTAGCTTTGTTAGAGTTGGCAATCTGGTAGATTTGTTGAAGTTAGCAATCCGGTAGATTTTTTAAGTCGGCAATTCGGTAGATCTTAAGAGTTGGCAATCTGGAAGATTTTTCAGGCAATCCGGTAGAGTATTTAGAGTTAGCAATCCGGTAGATTATTTAGAGTGGGCAATCCGGTAGATTTTTTAAGTGTTGGCAATCCGGTAGATTTTTTGAGTTGGCAATCTGGTAGATTAGTTATAGTAGGCAATCTGGTAGATTAGTTAAAGTTTGCAATCCGGTAGACTATTTATAGTTGGCAATCCGGTTTATTAGTTATAGTTGGCAATCTGGTAGATTAGTTACAGTTGGCAATCTGGTATATTATTTATAGTTGGCGAACCGATAGATTATTTATAGTTGGCAATCCAGTAGATTAGTTATAGTTTGCAATCCGGTAGATTAGTTAAAGTTGGCAATTCGATGGAATGTTTATTGTTTGTAATAATCCGGTAGATTATATGGAGTTGGCAATCCGGTAGATTATATGGAATTGACAATCCAGTAGATTGAAAAAATGTAGGATAGGATAGAATAGGATTGATTTCAATTTTTAAGTTTTCCAATCAGCTCCAGGACCTTTTTTGTCTTCAGAGAAATTATCAGGATAAAAAGAATTCAGAATTGATAATAACACTCTTTTATTACTAAAATTCACTTTGACAATGTGTTTAGTGTTTCGTTTGTAACTTAGAAATACTAACACACATAATATTTTTGGCTATTTTTTATTTTTGTAAAGTTGTATTTACATATGTTAAGCAGGGACTGAATCAGGTGAGCAAATAAGAAAAGTGTTTCAATGATAATAAATCAGGTTGCCAATGCCTTTTCAATCACGTTAGGATAAAAACAAAATAGAGAGGAACTGAGTCTTTGTCACAATCTTATATAATTAAAAATCAATGTCGTAGACTTTAGATATTTCAAACTATGAATGAAAACTATTATCTAAGTTTAAACTTCAGGTTGCAATGATACAGGAATTGGAAAATTTGAGTTTGTGGCAAAGAGTCAATTCCATGGAATAGGTTTTCATGAAACTTAGGGGTTTAAATTATATACTAGTTTAGTTTATTTATAATTGGCAATTTAAATACTAGTAACATTAGGAAACATTTTTAAACAGAATTTATGTTTGAATTATTTATTGGGTTTTTAAGATGCAGGGATTAAAAAACATTTTTAAACAGAACTTATGTTTGAATTATTTATTGGGTTTTTAAGATGCAGGGATTAAAAAATCTGAGTTTGTGGCATAGACTCAATTCCTTAAAAGTACAGTTTAAAGTGTATGTAAAACTTGACGTAAAAATACCTGAAATTAAGTAAATTTGATCAAATTAAGAATTTAAAACCAATTTTTTTAGTAAATCTCTCTGCACGGAAGCGTAGGGATGATTTTGAGATGCCAGAAATACCTTCAATTCAATCAATTCCAGTGACACAGGTAAAATAGACGAAATATTAGACGAAATATTAGACGAAATATTAGATGAAATATTAGATGAAATATTAGACGAAATATTAGAGGAAATATTAAACCCAATTAACATTTTCTTTTAAACCTAGTTCTGAGCCAAAATGATTTTTAGAGTTGGCAATCTGATAGATTTTTTAGAGTTGGTAATCCGGTAGATTTTTTAGAGTTGGCAATCTGGTAGATTTTTTAGAGTTGGCAATGTGGTAGATTTTTAGAGTTGGCAATATGGTAGATTTTTTAGAGTTGGCAATCCGGTAGATTTTTAGAGTTGGCAATCTGGTAGATTTTTTAGAGTTGGCAATCCGGTAGATTTTTAGAGTTGGCAATCCGGTAGATTTTTAGAGTTGGCAATCTGGTAGATTTTTTAGAGTTGGCAATCCGGTAGATTTTTAGAGTTGGCAATCTGGTATATTTTTTAGACCCAAATAACAATTTCTTTTCTATTTTCCTTTAAACCTATTTCTGAGCCAAAATGATTGCTATATCTTTGGTCTTTTATCAGCAAATTGATCATTTTTAATAAAAATAATTATTTGTAAAAGTGTCTTGCGAACTTAAGTAGCAGAGAAAAGAAAGAAGAATCTATCTTTTTTCAAAATGAATGACAACGCAATTTTACTCATTGTAAATTATAATTATGTACCCATGTGAAACAAATATAATGTCACTTCAAGTTACGTTAACTGTCTCTTGAAACATAATGTTGTATTTTCTAATATTTTATTTTTACGTTATTATTTTCTACTTTTTACACATAGGAATTGGGTTGTACCACAAACTCTGATTTCTGAATCCCTATGTCTTTGCAACTGGATGGTGTAAACCTTGTATATTTCAAACAGAATCTATAGTTTGAACAAAATTCTTAGGTCTACAATATTGTGTTGCAAAGGTATAGGGATTAAATAATATGAGTTTGTGGCAAAGATTCAATTCTTTTAATTGTGCAGACGAATGGAGATATCGAGTACAGTGGAGTAACAAGAAGAGAGGGTGGGGCTGGATACGGAAAACGCGGAAGCATCAAACGTCAGTCGGAATTACTCCGTGAGGCTCGGAAGAGTCGACAGGAAGAAAGAGAAGAGGACAAAATTAGAAACCAGTCCTACTACAGACGAGTTACAGGTGTCTAATACTAATTTAGGGCGCTTCGTCCCAATCTCTACTTCTTTGGTCTATGACCATTCTTCATCAAAAATTTATCATTGCAATTTTTTAAATAAGATTTTAAAATTTGTTGGTGGTTTTTAAAATTTGTTGCGGTTTTTTGAAATTTTAATGTTAGCTTTTGACTAATTGACAAATATTTTTTACTAAAGGACACAAAAAACTGCATTGTTGAATGTTCAGGTCTGCGGAAGGCTAAAGTCCCTCTGATGGTATACTCCTGCGGAGGATTCTCCAGATGTTTCCGAGTAGCGAGGTTCTATGATGCCGAAGGGCCTCCGGTCGGAATAGTTTACGAACGGCCGGAGGATGAACGGAGAAGTTTAAATCCGGATTTGTAATTTTTCAAATCTCATTGGAGGTCGGAATTAATAAATAGCGAGAAGTAGTTTACTAGGTCAACTACGTTATTATTCATTAATTTTCACCTCTACACACTTAAAGAGATTGTTTTGTTGTCTAGAATTCTAAAATTAGCAAAGGAATCGAGTCTTTGTCAAAATACTCAGATTTTTTGCAACCCAATGTCGTAGACCTGAGATATGTAAAACTAGCAATTCTAAAAATCCTATATTCTAAGTTTAAAATATCAAAGGTTTGCTGTATCAGGTTGCAAAGATATAGGTATTGGAAACTTTGAGTATGTGGCATACACTCAATTTCTTTTCTGAAATGATAAGAACATATTCAATACATTATGCTATTTTTTGTATCTTTGAATTTCTTAACAATCTCTTTAATCAATACAATTGGTTTGTCCTAATTAAAAAAAAACACAATTATGTGCTACATAAAATATGAATGTAGCAACTTATTTAAAAAAGTCCTTAAATCAATTTATAATCTTTTTTAATACATAACATCACTTTCAAAATATAAAACGTTGGTTTTGGATACAGTGTTCCTATAAAAATTATTCACTGTAAGAAAATCCATTGATGAAAAGTTTTTTATATAAATGCAAATTTTTTGTCTGAACTTTGTCTTATTATTGTAAATTTGATCTGAAATAGAAATGTACTTTTATATATTAACACCTCTACAATATTGAAATAAAAAATAAAAACCTAAATTTTTTATTAACTAAACACGAGATTCGAATCTATGAAATATGCGTAAAGAAATTAAAAGCAACTTATAAGAATTAAGTATTTGGCACAAACTCTGATAAAATATGTAATATTTCAAACTATGATTGAAATTATACAAGTTAGTTAATTTTAGTTTGTGGCAAAAACTCAATTGTTTAAAATATCTTTTAAAATGTGATACATTTTAAAATTTGCTTTTGCTTATATTGGCTGGAGCAAATTTTACGTTATTTAGTTTAAAAGAAGTGATAACTCGACACAAATTCAGATTTTTCAATCATTATATTTTTGCAACCGCATGTCGTAAATCTTTGTTTTTTAAATAATGAAATCTGTGAGATAATATAGGCAAAATTTAAATTGTCAAAGGCTTTAAATCAAGAAAGGCAAGAAATCAGCAACTGAGTCTTTGCCACAAACCTAATTTTTCTAATCTCTTTATCTTTGCAACTTTTTGATGGAAATCAATATGAAAAACATTTATACATTTGTACTTGCCAATGAAGCCGGAGTTAAAACGCTAAACAAATTTTATTTTTAAAAGTTATTTTTTTTATTTTTATGAAAATTATTTTTCATCGTCCTCCGATCAATGGACGAAATAAAGTAAGAACTTCTTTGTTCCTATTTAAGTTTTTTTATCTTTTTTATTTTTTAATATTTGTTAATGACTGATGAGTGATAAAAAACTGATGTCCTAATCATTCAAATATTTTTGGAGATAAAAGGGAAATTGATATATTCACTCTAAATATTTTATGTACAAGCAAAAATGTGGTTTCTTTGATAAAAAAGTAGGATTATATTTTATGAGAAATATCCATGTTTTTTGGAAATAAAACAGGACGGTGATATTTCATGTGAATTATAAATGTGGTTTTGAAAATAACAGTGACGGTGATATTTCGTGTGAAGTATATTTTAAGTAAATGTAAAGCATATGGTTAGTAGATATTAGATAAAATAGGAACGGTGATATTTCGTGTGTATTTTATGTAAAGTGGTTTCTTTGATATTTTATGTGAATCATCATTGTGTTATTTTGTAAATAAAAGGCGTTTTCCTGTGAACTATTTTATGTATAAGGAAAGCTGCGGGTTCTTTGAAAGAAAGGGACAGTGATATTTCGTGTGAATTTTTATGTACATAAATGTAAAGCTGTGTTTTTTTGGAGATATCAAAAGGACAGTGGTATTTGGTGTAAAGTATTTTATATAAACGTAAAGCTGTTTTTTGTAGATAAAAGGGAAAGTGGTATTTGGTGTAAAGTATATTATATAAACGTAAAGCTGTTTTTTGTAGATAAAGGGAAAGTGGTATTTGGTGAAAAGTATTTAATATAAACGTTAAGCTGTTTTTTGTAGATAAAAGGGAGAGTGATATTTCGTGCAAAGTAATTTATATAAACGTAAAGCTGTTTTTTGTAGATAAAGGGAAAGCGGTATTTGGTGAAAAGTATTTAATATAAACGTAAAGCTTTTTGTAGATAAAGGGAAAGTGGTATTTGGTGAAAAGTATTTAATATAAACGTAAAGCTGGTTTTTGTAGATAAAAGGGAAAGTGGTATTTGGTGTAAAGTATATAAACGTAAAGCTGTTTTTTGTAGATAAAAGGGACAGTGATATTTCGTGTAAAGTATTTAATATAAACGTTAAGCTGTTTTTTTGTAGATAAAAGGGAAAGTGATATTTGGTGTAAAGTACATTATATAAACGTAAAGCTGTTTTTGTAGATAAAAGGGACAGTGATATTTGGTGTAAAGTATTTTATATAAACCTAAAGCTGTTTTTTGTAGATTAAAGGGAAAGTGATATTTGGTGTAAAGTATTTTATATAAATGTAAAGCTGTTTTTTTGTAGATAAAAGGGAAAGTATTTGGTGAAAAGTATTTAATATAAACGTAAAGCTGGTTTTTGTAGATAAAAGGGAAAGTGGTATTTGGTGTAAAGTATATAAACGTAAAGCTGTTTTTTGTAGATAAAGGGAAAGTGGTATTTCGTGTAAAGTATTTTATATAAACGTAAAGCTGTTTTTTGTAGATAAAGGGAAAGTGGTATTTGGTGTAAAGTATTTTATATAAACGTAAAGCTGTTTTTGTAGATAAAAGGTACAGTGATATTTGGTGTAAAGTATTTAATATAAAAATATAAAGCTGTTTTTTCTTTGACAAAAAATAGACAGTGATATATTTCGTGTGAATTATCAAAATGTTTTATGGAGATAAAAGGGACAGTGATATTTCGTGTGAAGTATCTGATGTAAAGTAAAAATGTGGGTTTTTTGATAAAAGGGTTGGTGAACAAAATTGGAAAAATATTAAAAGATCAAATGCCAAATGATCAAAACTCTTGAAATGATCAAAAAAGTGTACGCTGAACAGTAGGGGAAGCTACTTACCTTTTAAAAAATATTATAGAAATAGAAATGATTTTAGGGTTTGCATAAATATTTCTTCTCTTTCTTCTCTTTCTTCTTTTTCTTCTCTTTTCTTCGCTTTTCTTCTCTTTCTTCTCTTTCTTCTCTTTCTTCTCTTTCTTCTCTTTCTTCTCTTGATAGTTTGTTGTGGAAATTTAACCGGGTTTGAGATAAACAATGCAGTACGCTTAGTTTATATGATTTTACCCAGATTTGTAATGAAATTGCGTTCGGCATTTGATCATTTGGCATTTGATTTTTTGATATTTTTGCAAAAAATTTATTTAGTTTTCTTTCTTTTTATGCGTTTCCGTTTTTCAAACAAAGTTTAAAACCTTAATTTAGTTTCGGCGTTTACCAAAAAAACCCTTTAAAAGTAAATTTAGTTGAGGAGGTGTTTCCCTTTTTTAGTACAAGCAGGGGCGTGCAAAAGCTTTAGTGTATGTGGGACACCAACATTTTTTGTGTGCACGCCCACCAGAAGATTTTTTGCCGGGCCGCCTAAAAACCCTTATTTTTACAAAATTACGGATTAGTTTTTTATCTTTATATCTTTCATATTTAGACTTTGCTTGGTTTAGAACATATATTCGTTGATTATATATTAGAAGAGCAAAGGAAATGAGATTTTATCCAAAAAAATAAACTCCAAAATAATACTCCCTATATCGTAGATCTTTAATATTTTCGAACTATGAATTCTACGAACAATGAAAAAGCCTAAATTTGAAATAAAGTTTAAACCATCAGGTTTCAAAGAAATAGTGACTATTAAATATGAGTTTCTTTTCAAAAACTTAGTTTCTTTCTTAAAAAATCTTTCCCCTTTTCAAAAATAATTAATTTCCTCCCAGAAATCGAACACCATCAGGTTAAAAAAAATAGGGATTAGAAAATATGAGAAAAATAATCTTAAGGTTTTAATTGTTGAATTTTTGGGTAAAAACTAAAAATAATTGAAAAGGATGAAAACTTGCCTTTTGATTACAAATTTATCCTTTCTCTTTTGATTACCAAAATGATTTTTTTCAAGAAGTAATCGCTAATTTTATATCAATGCAATGAAGACGACTTCTTTTCTATTTAAGTTTTGATTTCTAACAAGTTATTTAAAAGTTTCTCTTTGATTCCATGTTGGAAAAAATCAAAATTGAAATCGTATGTTGTCATCTTTATATTAAGATATGTGACAACAACTTCAAAATTTTGAAACTTTCTAGGACACATTGGATAACTGGGGATAGCTCTGGGTCCTGGGAGCAGCTCGAACTGTAAGCAAAGCTATCATAGCAGAGACTCTAGGAGCAGCTCCGGTAATGAACACCCAACATAGCAGAGACTCAAAGAGCAACTCCGGTAATGCACAGCTAACATATCAGAGACTCTAAGAGCAACTCCGGTAATGCACAGCTAACATAGCAGAGACTCTAAGAGCAGCTCCGGTAATGAACAGCTAACATAGCAGAGACTCTAGGAGCAACTTCGGTAATAAAGGAAGGAGCTGGAGTAGCAGCTAAGATTGCAGTGTAAGAGATACTGAGTTGGAGCAGCTAAACGAGATATCGAGTTGGAGAAGCTGCCTAGATAGATACTGAACTGGAGCAGCTAAAACAAGATATTGAGATTTGGAAAGCTGCTGAGACTGACACTGAACTGAAAGAGAGGAATTGAAGATTGCATATTTTTGCAAATAAAGATATATGACTTCAAAATGTTGAAAAAAATTGTATTTTAATTCTACACATATGCAAATTATACACAGCTGATACACAAGGGCGGATCACAGGGGGGGGGGGCCTGGGGCCACAAGTCCCCTCCTGAGCTTCTGGAAAGTG